AGAAAAAACAAAAGGTTTGATACTCACAGGGCAGAATGAATGAATGACATAACAATGTTTAGGAGAGATAACAAAAAGAGAAAATTCATTAAGAGCTACAAAGGATAGGAAATTGTGGAGAGTCATAATCCCTAACTTCCTAAAGGTTTACATCACATAGGAGAAGAATGAAGAAATATGAACAAAATCAGAGTTTTTTTTTTATTTAACCTAAAAAAATCCGAGATTTATATCACCTCCAAACTCCCAACACCCTTTTCCGTAGGACAAAGTTTTGTTTTCCATCATTCCGAACTGGAGACGTCAAACCTCAGGCATACGTTGGGGAAACGCGCTGTCATTTAAAATATTTTTTCCATTTTGTCTCTGTTTTTCCCCCCCCTTCTATTTATCTCTATTCTGTTCATATTCGATATTTATATTTGAAGTCTATTCTTGTCTATCTATTCCTTACACATCTTTGAGAATATATTATTAAAAATATCTTATATCGAGAGAGTCAATATTGCAGCTGAATAATAATTTCACTTTATAATTTGATATGTTCTATAAAAATATAAATAGATTGCGGCACAAGGATTAACGATATTTTCTATATTTGTTCATTTTTTAATTTATTCCCTCATATAAAGATGTACTTTCTGTTTAATGATTAATATTTATGATTGTTAAACAGTAATTAGAATATTAGATTCCTTCTTTCCGGCAACTGAATGACATCCATGTTTATCGTGTCGTACACAATTAAGATTATTAAATATGAATAAAGCTTCTTGGTGTTTTATTCTTGAGCGTTTATTTATGAAAATTCCGCCTCTGGCAAAAAGAAAAGCAATGGTGTAAAAAAGAAACAAAGATCAGACTGTATTTAAAACTCAATATATGTAGGTTAGTATTTCTGACTTATCTTATTTCAGTGGCCCTGACTCAACCACTTTCTCATTTAGCTTTAGCTAATGTTTTCAAAAAAGGAATATTTTAGGCGGCGATATAATAGAAATTGGTGATTAAGCACAATTTTGCGATTTTTTATGCTGTTGGTGAAACGGATCTGACAAATCAGGTTTGGCATATCAACACCTCGATAGGATGTTTAATACCGAAATCTAAATATTTTGTATACATTTTTATGACTTCAGCTACACATATTTTTGCAAATCATTTCCTATTTCCACGATAAACGTATGTTATTTTTAGATATATAGTTTACAGATGATAAAAATGTTTTGTTGGTCATTTTTTAATAAAAATGTATTACTTCCTAGAACGTCTCATAAAAAAAAGTGTTTTTTTCAATACTTTCTTAGTACACACATTTTCTGATTTTATGGGTTCAAAAATTTGACCCAAGTTCATCAGCTATGTCCTGCCAAGCCCTTGAAAAGGTCATTTTTTGTTCACTTCAACAACAGAAGTCTAGAGGTTGAACACGCTTTTCTCTGAACAATTGTCTTGAACGTTTAGCTCACAAAATTTGATAAAATAAAAGCAGGTATATGTAAAATTTAAAACATTTCACTGCATTGCAAATAAGGAAGAATAGACTATCGATGATCAGGAATTAATTCAAGGTTATCTAATCGTATTGTAAAGGTTATTATAACCTATAAATCTTGTCGCCATTCTTAGAGTTTTATTATAGAAATGAAAGAAGATCATTCATTTCGGCCCTTAATATATGCCTACCTGAACAATCATTTTCAAAATTCCAATCATTTCCCCAATCTAATCATATCTATTTTTATACTCTCCTAGAAAAAAAAATGTTACATTTATAGTTTATTCCAGTGTAGGAAACTTTTGATATTCTGTTGTATTTTCCTTGTATTAACTTTAGTATAGTTCTTTCGAATCATGGACAGGTTTCTCGCATGAAGTGTTTTCTGCGCAACCGTACTTTTCTAATTTTGTCTTTTATCTGGAATTAACTATAATTATTATTGGTAGTAATAGTACTGGTGATTATGTTTTCACATTTTCCTATAATTTTTAGCATTTTCAAGCTGTTTAAAAAGAATTTTTTACTGGCTGTGCAGTGCTTTAATAATATTTTACCAGATATTACTTTTTGTTTTCTTTTTAACCCACAATTATTTAATTTTCTAGGAAATTCCAAATATTTTTCCCATTTTTTTATTTATTTTATATTTTGGTCAGTTGAAATCATGACATGAGTTACCTTATAGATGAGGCCATCCAATCAATATTTAATTTTTTATTACCGAAAAAGGCTTTTGTCTGCAATGGTTTTAGTTTTTTGTTTAGATTTCCGAGAATCGGTTTCAGGCTCCAACCATTACCTTATAGTTTTACAACTTTTATATATAATTTTTATTTGCTTATTTTATAAAATACTTAATAGAATAATCAAACCCTATATGGGCTAATTGTTATAGTGGAACACACCTATTCTATAGTTAATTTTTTTCTCCCATCTATAATAAGTCAGTAGTAATGAATAACGAAGAATCGCTCAGTGGTTCGGTCTGAGTTCAGTCTGAAGTCGACGACCAGCTGACCGGTTGAACTCTCTGCCTTCGGGCGGGAGGAACCTGAACGAGGCTACGCCGAAGGGCGGAGTCTCTTTTTAATGAGGTAAACCGACCCTGAACCCGTTTATACGGGTTCAAGGGCATATTTTTGGCCGAGCCCACGGACTTAGATAGGAGATCCCACGTTAAACCGGCTATTCTATAATTAATGCCCTCGTGGGGGGGTGACTAAATACCGGTCAGTCAGTCGATGTCGGACGACCGTTAGTCGAATACTAAAGTATCAGCGACCACAACTAGATTTCTCTGCGTCATTACCTATTATATCAAGTTCCTAACGTTTTTGTACGTCGAACCTATTTTAGGACCGACTTAGTACAAATACAAGACTCCACTGTGAAATCACCCATAACAGTAATGAACGATGATAATTAAGACTTTCCAAACAATATATATAAGATTCCTCCATTATTTATATAGAAGAAGTGCAGAAAATCACTACTAGAAATGAGTCACCGAATTATATGATGAATTTCCAATCTGCAGACCAACATACAGTATTTACTACTGTATTTATGTGAATGGAGACATACACATTATCGTCTGTAGGTATGCTACAACACCGTATAAGAGGCTAATAATTTGCAAAATTCCCAGTGGAACACATTTCCTACCCATTCATGCATACTTTTGAAAACCTTTTTAAAAGACAAATTTTAATTGGTTTATTATTATATATTCAATGCGACCATTTCTATTCTGATGAGTTTTGCTGTGTGTGAATGTGTGTTGTTTTTAATGTGTTTTAATCTTTAGCAACATCAGGAGACACATTGGTCCTTGCCTTATAAAATTGACAGCTTTTACCTTATCACATAAAAAATAACATTAATATTTTTTTCGGAAAATTTCCGATGCACATTATAGCATTAATTCTTAAAATTCTTTTGAATTTGTTTTTTTTGGAGTTGATCAAAAACTACAGAATGCAGAGATTAGACAAAAATGCCAAAACAATGATTGCATTTTTTGTCTGAATTTCTGGGATGAGGAGTTATCATTATTTACAGTATATATATTCAAAATATTTTTCCTTAAGGCCTTTCTCGGGTGTAGATTGATCAAGGTAACCTACATGGAATTCCGAATTGAAATTTATTGAATCTACGTGGCTAGACTGCTCTCATTCCACTGTTGATGTCTATGGATATGGACAGCAGTATCAGTCAAAACATGGTCACCAGCATCAGCAAAGAAGTTGCAGCCTAATCAGCAGATAAGGTTAAGTGTAAGACTCTAACTTTACTCTACGGGACAATGGCATAGTGAGGAAAAAGGTTGATTTATGGATTTGGTGATATAATGGTTGTGTGTTCAATCCCTGTGTTAGGCAGTGGGATAACTGGACAGTACTTAGATAAAAAAAATATCCCGAGATATGAGCAGTGAAACGAGATGAATTCTCCATAGATTAAATAAAGGGTTCAGTTTGGAATTTCCCTTTAGATTACCCGTGTCGATATACCCCTGTGGAAAGACGTAAGGCGACGTGATGAGGACAGTTGTTAGAATATAAATGCTAAAAATAATGATGATTGTAGCGAATATAATTCCAGATCCTACATTATTGGTTAGAGTTTTGTTGACATGAAATGAATAAAGGAGGTTTGAGTTCCGTCGGCGAGGAATTTCGATTCTAATGAATTCGCCTTTGTCTAAAGTTTAATATGTCATTAAAGGTGCGAAAACCGTCAGTAGTTAAGTCAATAGCTCTGATGTTGTCAGAGGAATTTTCTTCCTTTGCGATCTATGTGTTCAGCGAGGGGAAAGCCATTCTATCTATAGGATAGGTTGCTGCCCGACTTATTGACACCTGCTCCCTCCCTTCCTTCTTTCACTCTATATCTCTGTCACACGTAAAACAAATCTAATAAAAAGAAGCCTGAAAATATTTAATGCCTTTAAGTCTGTTGATGCAGCGTTGGGGACTCTGCTGAGGAATTACCGAATGCCACTAAAAATCCAGAGACGTGTAAATGAAACCACAGAAAGCGAAATCGTGGATAAGTGTTTCAGTATATTTTTTTTTGATAAAATATTTATTTATGAAAACGTTTAAAAGATTTTTCGTTAAAAAATGAAGAAAAGAAGATATTGAATGACCGCTTGTTTACAAGGAACCGCCCCTAAGAAGAAGATTTCTGCAGCCAAAAAAAGAAGAAGATGCGTATTTGGGGAAGGAATAAGAAATGCAGAATATTTAAAAGAATAATTTAGTGGAAAAACATTTTAAATAGTGAAAAGATAGAATCGGTAATGGAAGAGGAATGTAGAAGAAGAAGTTTTTAGGAGAATGATAAATTTCAGAAAACTTTAACATTGATCATTGAAACAGCTTAAAGAGAAGAAGAAGAAACAAAGAAACGAAGATTAGAACCTTAAGAAGAAGAAGAAGAATAAGAAGAAGAAATGACGTATCAAGGAATAATATGATGAAATATATGACGATTAAGTTGAGGAGACAGAAAGAAGATATGAAATGTGGAAAATGGTTTTTAAACTAGGTAAGAAAGAAAGAAAAAATGAAAGAAAGAAAAGATTCCATATTATAAATTGTGGAAGGAGAAAGAACCTTAGATATAAAGAATTATTCATTAATGAAAGGAAGATAAACTAGGGAGAAACAAAAAAAAACATTTTGGAAAGAAATAAAGAAACAATTGGAAAATGGGAAAGAAAGAAACGAAAAAGAATGTAAATACCTGAA